ATCAAAATCATTCATTTTGTAATCTGCACATTTTACTAAGTTATCCGTCGCTCCGCTTATCGTGCATGCATTGAACACTCTGGGAGAATTTGAATTCAGGAATTTTTTAAAAAAATCTCATGCAGTTCAATTCAGAGGTAAACTTTCTTAGAGTAAGTGTTGTGTGGAGGGTATCAGGTTTTGGGCAGCCCTGAAGGAGCGGGAGGGAGGGTCATAAATGCGGCACTGTGACAATCATGCTTGAACCTGATTATGAGTGAACATGCTTGAAAAAAAACGTACTTGCAAGAGAGAGTTATCTAACGGGTTTTATACTCCCGATACAGTTTAAAGCTTCCAAACCTTGGGCATTTGAGGTTGCTATAAGGTATAAAGCTTCGAAAAAAGGTAGAAAAATAAGAGGCCTCCCGAATGGCAACTCTTCCTCAAAGTGAAAGCAGCTTCTTCAAAAAAACTACGAATATGCAGTGCCGTTTGGAAAAAAGTAAATTGCTGTCTTAGATCAATAGGATAAAATGCAACTACATGACATCACGTATGACTATGTTCTTACCAACAGATTCACTCCGCAGAATATGAAGGACCAAGTATAAGCATAGGTGATATCAGCAAGATATCCAGCAATAGGAGGACCGAAAACGGTCCCTGCTCCCTAAAAAGTGTGTCTTCCAAGAATGTAGCGATCGATGCGCATCCTAAAGTTGAAAAAAAAATTTAATGCAGTTCATACCTGCCACAATAGAAGAAGACCAAATGCACTTGTAAGCTTATCCAGCCCGAGAAGGTCAACCAGAATGACGCTAGTGAGGCAGATATAACATGCAATTGAGAAACCAAACAAGCCAGCATAAATAGCAAGAGAAACAAAGCCAGCACACAGAAAACAGAAGGTTGTGAAGAGGCCGCATAACTTCAATAAAATATTGCATTATCTATAGTCCTATCATATCAATGCATGAGGAAGCAATGTATGGTCTGTGCTTCCAAAACATCAAGCGCTTTTATCACTGACACATGTATTTTCTAACCTGATATCAAAATTCAAGTGATAAACTCCCAAAAATTAATCAATAAGTGAATTATTTATATTGCGGACACATGCACAAACATTATCCAGTTCAAGCTCGCACTGATGTTTGCTCCAATATAAAACGTCAGGGTCGTCATTTGGATAACGGCAGTTTAGAAATTTGAGTGCTTACCGAAAGCGTTATATTGTACATCCACAGCCTATTTCTTGCAGTATCCCGACCGAGT